GCGCACTTCAGACCTTGTTCAGTTTTTGCTGACAATCTGATGTCAGTCATGTCAGCAAGCTTTGCTCGGTTTCTGCCGCCAATTTGTTGTCTAGTTATGTTAGCAAGCTTTGTTTGGTTTTTGCCGGCAATCTGCCAGCTTAATCGGTAATAACAACTCTTGTACCAAATTTGTAGCCTTTTTGCTGACAATAATTTGTAGCAAGCACTTGGCAATATCTGTTAGAACAGACGTGGCTGACTGGGTGTTGATTTGCAATAAACATGATGCCACAGGCTTTATAAAAATCTTATCAAGCTTGAAAAATTCTTCTGGTTCCATTGAAAAATAAATGTATATTTATCAACTATTCATAAGACATGCATTAACTTTACAGACTGCGTTTCACCAATGTTATTTATACTTATCTGTAGTTACATATGACGAATAACTAACATAACTATATGATGACACTCCTTTGACAAATGCACTCAAATATACTAGATTCTTGTGTGTGTATGCCTATATTACTGTTCGCAGTTATCCATACTGGTTTTTGACAGGTGTTCGACATTAAATTTTCCAGAGTGCAACATTAGCGTAACACTTTTTCATTTATAAAAAAGTAAAGCTGCAAAGTTCTTCATGATACTTCTGGATAGTTGAATCTATAGAATACACACACATATAGCTTATAGTAAACATATTATAGAATACACACATCTCTTTCTTATAAACATATGTATTGCGATGTTTTGTTCTGTTTTTACACGTAGCATAAATTACTTTTGTAATGTTTTACTTTTCTCTAATATAAATGAGATATACCTGACCTGACTATCCACAAGTATTACGAAGAATTTGGCAGCTTCACTTTTTTATAAATGAGAACGTACGAACAATGCACTCTGGCATTTTGCAAACTTAACCTATACCTGTCAAAAGCAAGTATTGTACGGTTCCATAAAATAAATCGGTGCGTTATTTTAATCTTGCACTCTATTTTATTCTTTAATTTTACAATGTTCTCAATAACGTTTACTCGCTAAACTGAACTAACATCACTCTTGCAAATTATTCTAACACGGTATCGCTCCGTAAATCGCATTCTGCTCCGCTTTCGCTCTCAACTCGCTCTGTCCCTCACTCACTCATCCTACTTCCTAATCTCTGTTATCGATGCCAGCGCGATCCTGTTCAAGTATTCCAAATAGCTCAATTTTCCTAACTTATCGGCATTTATAATTCTTTCTATTTCATGCGCGTACAGCTTCGACCATCCTGGCCCGTTAGTTCGTCCCGAACTAACATTAGCTTAGGTAAACTTATTTATAAAAAAAAATCTTTAATATAAACAACTTATACTTTTCGCACTTATAACTAGCTATGACAGTCAATTATCTTATGAACTAATTTTTATTGCGACATTATACGTATTTATTTTCGGTCTCTGGTACAATATTTGGCGTCACACGAATCCAGGGTTTAATTTTGTCAGCGGACAAAATCGTATTATATGGTTTTTGAGTTAAATTGTATCCCGGAACATCTGTAACCACAAACTGATTTTTGTTTAATATTTTTTTGGTCTGGTATGGCCCTTTGTACTTCGGTAGCAATTTCTGATTAACGCCTGGCTTATGCTGTAAGACTTGGATTAAAACAAGGTTCCCCTCTGCATATTTGGCAGATTTCTTATGACGTTGATCATATTTACTTTTATTGTATTCTTGTACCGCTTTGTTGGCTAACTGAGCCGCATATCTTAATTGATTTCATTCTTGATCGATGTTGCAGTCAATTTCTGTTAATTCGTCAATTAATTTACGCAACTCTTTATCACTTTTATTTTTGTGGTCATACCCGAGTAATAACCCACACGGAACATGACATCCATTAAACGTCCATATAACCTCCATAACTCCATGCGACATCTATCTCCACAGTGGATATTATATAGATTTCTAATAGAAATCAGTAGTATACAAAAGCATATGTTCTGGCTCACATTTTTCCTGCACCAAAAATCAGCTAAAAAACACCAAAATCATTCATAAAAGACAACAAAAAGAAGAACTTCTAAAATATTGAAAGAAACTAAGGGCGTCCTTCGGACTAAACCTTTCAGGTGCTTGACCTGAATTAATAAAATATTGGAAAAAAAACCTTGCAAATATTGACAGAAATCCTAAATTCCAAGAGTGTTAAACTCCGAATCAAAACCAAAGAGTGTTAAACTCTAAATCAAGACCAATTATAATACCAGTCCAAGGAACGCTAAGTCCAAAAGACGCTTACGAAGTGATTAGATCCTTCTTATTTATCCAGTGGTTATGTGTATTATCAAAGCCTAGCCATTTAACATAAACTTTATTTCCTTTTCTTTTTAGAGTGTATATACAAAATAGAGTGATGAATTAATAAAAATTTTATATAATAAATGGAGAGGAAATGTTCCACATGTTAAATTATTAAACCGCATTGTAATTTTGTTAAATCAAATAATTTAAAATATGGAATCAGTTACACCTGTTATGAATGTAAAAAACTTCAAAATGAAAAAATCTTTTCATGAAAATATTTTTTCTCAACCAAGAAAAAGGAAAGATGGGATTATAAATAAATCAAAAGATTTTAAAGAATTACCAAACAATTATTGTGATGAAGAAGAGGAAGTCAAAGTTGTTAGAGCTAAAGGTGTGTGGAATGACATGGTTGTTGATTATACATTCTACTCGGATATAAATAGTTATGATTTAAGTATATTTCTTGAACGAACTAAATCATACGTAGAAGATAAAATACGAACTGGATTTAGAAAACATACAGCTGTAACAGTAAAATTAGTTGCAAAGGTGCAATATCATGTATTGGATTTATGTGGTAATGTAATTGACAAACATACACATTATTTTCATAGTAATATTGAGCATATTTTATCTGAGGATATAATATCTGATATAATCAATTTTATGCATAATATCATTTTAAATCAATTTGCAAACTTTAATGCAAAAAACACCAAGTTTGTGTTTGATAGAGTTATTCAACTTGATTTACAGTCCGATAAATACACCCCTCTTCGAGGTGAAACTTATGTTAAATTACCCAATTATATTATAGCAAAAAAATGTTAACAATAGAAAAACTAATAAATTTAAATGTGAGAATCAAGAAAATCTTAGATGCTTTGAATATGCATTAAAGAGTATACTTAATCCCGCTGATAATAATAAAGAAAGATTTTCCAAATATGATATATCGAGGTATGAAATGTTAAATATGAATTATCCCATACAAATTATAAAAGAAAATATGAAAAAATATGAAGATTTTTTTAATATAGCTATAAATGTTTATCGAGTAGACGAAATAATGGTAAGTCGAATGCAAAGAATTCAAGAACCGAAGGTTCGTCGTTTACTATTGATCAAGCTATTGTAAGTGATAATTAAAAAGATAGAAAATGTATAAATCTTTTAATATACAAAGAGCATGTAGTTGGAATTAAAAATATGAGTGCTTTATTAAGAGGACAAATAATAAAAAGACACAGAAAGCGATACATATGTGAAAAATGCAACGATTCGTTTGAGAAAGAAGAAAAGTATAATGATCATGTTGCTCTGTGTATATATGAAAAACAAAAGATAAAAATGCCTACTAAATTAAATAGACAATATTTTTCCATATGAAACTTTACACTGTTAAAACAAATAAAATAGCATTATCAGCATACGATGATAAAGTATATTTAAATAATAATATAGAAACGTCTCCTTTTGGTTATGAGAATACCAAGCAAAACCTGAAAGGCATCTGAAAGGCGTCTGAAAGACTAAGTCCAAGGGACGCTTAGTCCAAGGGACGTTTGGTCCAAGGGACGTTTAGTCCAAGGGACGCTAATGTAGTTTGTTAATGTCAAGAGTGTTAAACTCTGAATCAGGGGCGTCCCTCGGACTTAGTCTTTCAGACGTTTGACCTTCACAGCTAAGATCCAAAACTTAAAAAATGTGAGCGTAATGATTGACTTACATGAAGTGCGTCCTACGGACTAAGCGTCCTTCAGACTTAGCATAAAGACTAAGCTTCGAAGCGCTCGGATCACATATCACTCAGTAATTAGTCATGTTTAACTGTTATCTTCGTATGGCTCAGGGAGATAACACATGCCCAGTAATCTTGAGATTGCCGGTTCGAATCCGCCCAATCCAAGATTTTATTTACCAAGAGCGGCCGGCTTGGTAAATAATATGGTGTGTAAAAAAACTGAGCGGCGTTGTGTGTGTGTGTGTGTCCTGGCGCCAGGAATAGGAATAGGATAGAGACCTTCTAATCAGAGACTGGCCGCAAGATTTCGTCAAATTCCTGCGAGTGAGAGAGAAATATAGGCTATCTCGCTCTTCCTGATACATTACGTAAATTTCTTCCCATTTATAATAATAATATTAATTCATTATTTTTTTGAAAGAAATATTTATCATTTTTTGTTTTATCAATTCCCAAAAATCCATGTGGTTCTGACCAAGCTTTTTTACAGAACTTACAAAACTCTTCATATGTTAATTCAGAAGCCAATTCTTCATGTATTTTTCTGAGATTATCTCCAAACTCATTAAAAATAAACCACAGATTTGAATTTTTTCTAATTATAGGGTTTATTTTAGTGTATTTATAATATAATCTAAGAATACTAATATTTTTATGCCTTCCTTCACAATAATATCTTATTATTTTATTTTGATCTTTCAGCATTCCATCATCGAAAATTACTTGATAAAACAAAAAGGATGGTGATAAACATTAACATTTGCGCCTTGCGAACACGCCCGGAGGTATGAATAGACTTGCTCCATGTAACCACTTATTCATGTAAGATTTTTCGGTGGCTGAAGAGACACAAGTAAGTGTCGAAACGTCCCACAAAATTTTGTAAATTGAATGAAAATAATATGAAAAAATAAAAATCGAACACCCAAATATTGCTCGTAGAGGCCGTTATCATATCATTATTTATATAAATATTTATTAACAATTATTGATACTTTTTCCAAATTTGCTTGGGCAATTCCTGTTAAAAATAAAACTGGAGAAAGTGTATCAAAGGCAATGAGTATTTGTTTTAAAAACCTACCTCAAGGGGTTGATCTGAACTCACAGCATAAACTACCAAAAAATTTACAAACGGATAATGGGAAAGAATTTTATAATAAAGATTTTAAAAAACTCATGGAACAAAATAAAATTAATCATTATTCAACGTATAGCGATAAAAAAGCTACAATTGTTGAAAGATTTAATAAATCACTCATAGAATTAATGTGGAAACAATTCAGTATACAGGGTAATTATAAGTGGGTTGATATATTACCAAATTTGTCAAATATTTATAACAATAGAAAGCATAGAACTATAGGAATGACACCGTGTGAAGCGTCAAGCCGTCTTGACAAGCCCCAAAGAGTCGCGTCTGAAAGACTAACTAGTAAACTGTGTGAGAAGACGTCTGAAAGACTAAGTACAAAGGATGCGCCTGAAAGACACCTGAAGATGCGATTCAAAGTTGGTGATTATGTAAGGATTAATAAATTAAAGCATATGTTTGAAAAAGGATATACGCCTAATTGGTCAACTGAAATATTTGTAATAGATAAAGTTTTTAAAAACATACTCCCATATTATCATATTAAAGATATGAAAGGTGAAGAAATTAAGGGAACTTTTTATGAACAAGAACTACAAAAAACTAAAATTCCATCTAACATCTATTTAGTTGAAAAAATATTAAAAAGAAAAGGAAATAAAGTTTATGTTAAATGGCTAGGCTTTGATAATACACATAACCACTGGATAAATAAAAAGGATCTAATCACTTTGTAAGCGTCCTTTGGACTTAGCGTCCCTTGGACTTGTATTATAATTGGTTTTGATTTAGAGTTTAACACTCTTTGGTCTTGATTCGGAGTTTAACACTCTTGGAATTTAGGATTTCTGTCAATATTTGGAAGGTTTTTTTCCAATATTTTATTAATTCAGGTCAAGCACCTGAAAGGTTTAGTCCGAAGGACGCCCTTAGTTTCTTTCAATATTTTAGAAGTTCTTCTTTTTGTTGTCTTTTATGAATGATTTTGGTGTTTTTTAGCTGATTTTTGGTGCAGGAAAAATGTGAGCCGGAACATATGCTTTTGTATACTACTGAAATCCATATTATCTCCATGGTAGATGTCGTATATAAATCCATCATGGATGTCCATTAGACATCTGTTATAGATGTATGATAGATTTATACAAGTATGTTTCTAATAAAACAAAATTTAATTTTTATTTAAGTATTATTTAAAATTCTCAGCTAATGTTTTGAGAGTATACTTAAAAATGTGTAATATTATATATTCTATTTTTAATTTATATACAATTTAAATTTTTATTAAAATTTTTTACTAAACTAAAATATAATTAACAAAATTTTAATGCAAAACAAAAAATTTTTTTCATACCAAATTTTTTAAACAGTCCATATGATATATATAATGATAACATGACATATATAATGTCATCAATTTATTATTAAACAAAGAAAATTCTTAATTTATAGATTAAAATTAGAGATAACTGTAATTATTCATATTATATTCCTCACAGCACATCAACATCCCAATGAAATTACACCTTAAATTGTAAGATGGTAACATTCTACGGAAATTAATAAACCTGCCATTAACTTTTAGTAACTTGAAAATTCGTCTAAATTTATTCCATTAACATCTCGGGGACCTTGCGCGTAACGTTTTATTAATATTCATACAACATGCCAGAAAAAAAACTTAATCTCCTAATATTATTTTTAATAAGGAACCCTTGCAAAAAAATATTATATTGCCAAAAATCGATTAAACACTATCGGTTTTCAACAGCTTTCAATCGTTTTTTCACCAATCATTGAATAGTTCAAACTCTTTTTTTTCTTTAATATGGAATTCCGCAAAAAATCCATAAAATTAAAACAGAACGAGCTCCTTATTATTATTTCTGAAAATATAA